GTTTTATGTTTAATATATCAAAACATTATTTATGCATTTGTAATTGCAGGTTAAATGCATTCATGTCCTGCATTAAACAGCGTGTAAATACATCTGAAAGCCACTTCAGAAGCAGATTCTGTGTTTCCTCTGCATTGCAAAGATGAATTTTGTTGATACTGATTTCATAATTCACTGATATGGACACTTTTAGAAAAAATGGCTTTATAAAGGTAAAAATGCCCATAAAATGTAAAAATCAGTTTAAACTTATTAGTTTAAAAGATTAATTTCTCTCAGTGTGAACTGACCAGCACACAGAATATGAAGAATATCAAAAACTTTAGGAGTCAGCTGTCCACGGCAGTCTTTAAGATACCAGCACAATAACACACTCAGCAAAATATCGTCTAATTATCGTTATCGATAAAATCACAGATAATATCGAGATATTATTTTTTGTCAATATCGCACACCCCTACCAGGGAATTGTAAACTAAATATACTGTATGGAGAGACTTACATTTACTGTTAGACTCAATTTGGATAAATGTATCAAGTATTGGGATAAATGGATTGTGTGGACACATACTGTACCATTGAGGATAAGTGTGATACTGTACTTCAAAGAATGTGTGGAAATTGTAGTGTCTTGACTTTGATGAGCCTTTGTCCCGTGTGTTCAATAAAAATAAAAGTAAAAAAAAACGTTCGTTTCAATAAGTTTTGCATAGTATTTTATTACTCTTCACTTCAAAAACGGGTAATATGTTATGTATTTGAGGTCTGAGATGTGGGAACGGTGAAGAGAGAGAGAGGGCAAGCATTTTGCATTTTAGCTCAGCATTGCCATCTAATCAGCCAATATTGTCTTAAATAGCCTGCAGAGCACTTCATCTTTTATAACATGGGATTTCAACCAAATATATTCAATCTTGATTTTTGTCAAATGTTGCAATAAGATGTTAAATGCTTTTTTTGGTGAAAAATTATACTTTTGGACATGTAAGGTAATAAAAAATATTTAAAAAAATACCTTAAAGTAACTACACATGAGCATGTAAAGCAAATATCTTCAATAGAAATTCTGTGTGGAGCATGCCCCCGATGCTTTATTTAAATTTTGTATTTTGTATTGAGTGCCACTGTATTGTTTTTATAATGTATAATCTTTGTTTGCTGTGAAACCGATCAAACTCAATAAACTTAAAGGGATAGTTCACCCAAGAATGAAAATTTTATGTTTATCTGCTTACCCCCAGGGCATCCAAGATGTAGGTGACTTTGTTTCTTCAGTAGAACACATTTGATGATTTTTAACTCCAACCGTTGGAGTCCATCAATCTTATAATGGATGGCAATGCACCGGATGCCGTGCACGCGCCCAAAGACAGTTAGTGCTGTATTAGACATAGTGCTGTATTAGAGGTAAAAAATGATATAAATACTGTTCGGTTTCTCGCACAAACCGATCGTTTCGTGTCTTAGGACATCAATGTGTCGTCACGAGCCGCAGGGTTTAATTTGGATTTGTCTGTGCATGTTTTTTTTACTCTCATAGATTTTGTTACCATTGCCATGCATTATACGACTGATAGACTGCAACGGTTAAAGTTAAAAATTTTCGTTTGTGTTCTACTGAAGAAACAAAGTCACCTACATCTTGGATGCCCTGGGGGTAAGCAGATAAACATCACATTTTCATTTTTGGGTGAACTATCCCTTTAAGTCATGTCTGTAGTGCTCAATTCACAATATACTGTTGTGCAGATTTAGTGTTTTGTGAATTAAATGAAAGCTTGGTTTTCTTTTAGGCTCGTATCGGTTCATTCAGCAGCACATCATGAGAGGAACCGACCCGAGGGCCATTTTGAAAGACCTGCTTCCCGAAACGGACCTCCCGGCGGATCTCGACGACATGACGCTGTGGCAGATCATCATCAACATCTCCGAGCCGCCCAAAAGAAAGAAACGCAAAGACATCAACACATTGGAGGACGTCGTGCGGCTCCTGAACGAGAGGAAGAAGATACTTGTGCTCACTGGCGCCGGGGTGCGTTTATGATTTGTGCTTTCAGACGCACTCGGAGTATGTGTCCAGTCTCTCAAATATTGATTGGTTGCTCTTGTTCCTCCACAGGTGTCTGTTTCTTGTGGCATTCCTGACTTTCGGTCTAGAGACGGCATATACGCTCGACTCGCTGTGGACTTTCCTGACCTTCCTGATCCTCAAGCCATGTTTGACATAGACTACTTTAGAAGAGATCCAAGGCCTTTTTTCAAATTTGCCAAGGTTCGATACACTGCCTTCTCATTTGCATTTCAACCATTAATGGAAAACAATTACTGTAATGATACGTTTTTAAATAACGTGAGACACTACAGGTGAACCTATAGTTTTTAATGCATTGGTTAATTTGGTCTATTTTGCTTCCATAGTGGAAGAAAAAAAATTATTTTATTGCACTTTATCCATTTCAATTACATTACTTATCTTTAAAGACAGTTTTTTTTTCTCCACTTCAGTAAAACTTGCATACAACAAACTTTACAGTTTTATTTCAGTCAATATTCCCAAGACTTTTACAGAGGGGTTTGTTCATGTACCGTTTACCTGATATATAACATTTTACTCCTAAAAACATTTTTTTTCTGTCTGTTGATAGTATTTTCTAATTTTTATAGTGATAAAAAGAGAAACCCAAAATCCTGTCTAGAAAAACCTTTAACTCTATTATGTGACCCTGGAGCACAAAAACAGTCTTAAGTCGCTGGGGTATATTTGTAGCAATAGCCAAAAATACATTGTATGGGTCAAAATTATAGATTTTTCTTTTATGCCAAAAATCATTAGGATATTAAGTAAAGATCATGCTCCATGAAGATATTTTGTAAATGTCCTACTATAAATATATTAAAACTTAATTTTTGATTAGTAATATGCATAGCTATCCAAAATCTGATGAAGAAACAAACTCATCCTAATCTTGGATTTGCTGAAAATTTCATTATTGGGTGAACTATTCCGTTAAGATGTGCTTGCAATTGTGTTGCGGCTCGTGAAACCGTTGATGTTCTGCTGCAGGTTGTTCCTCACTGTCCGAGGGGTCCGTCAGATGTCCCGTACGCCATAGTGGTTTTGTGGTCCAGGGTCACATATGTCAACAAAATCAAACAAGTCAAACAAGATTATTTTCTGTTAAATGTAGGCAAATTATTGGATATTTAATTATATAATGCACTGTTTGCACTGTTTGCGGTAACATTTCAGAAAACTTGTAGTAGAAAACAATTGTCTTAAACAATTGTTAAAATATTTACCCTATTCAGCAGTTGTCTTGTCATAAAGGTTTGCATTTACATTTATGCATTTGCATACATTTATGTATAAAAATTGCATAAATAACAATATTCTCTGTTTGCTTATACTGTAGGAAATCTACCCAGGACAGTTCCAGCCGTCTCCATGTCACAGGTTCATATCAATGCTGGATAAGAAGGGAAGGCTACTGAGGAACTACACTCAGAATATCGACACACTGGAGCAAGCGGCTGGAATCCAGAAGATCATTCAGTGTCATGGTATATCTGCCCCTGATTCCTCATTTAAACCTAGATGTTCATTATTCTGTCAGTATCTAGACTCTTTTATTATCCTCTGTCTTTTACTAATTATTTTAGGTTCCTTTGCGACTGCTTCCTGTCTTGTCTGTAAACATAAGGTTGACTGTGAAGCCATAAGGGAGGATATATTCAACCAGGTATGCTTGAGTATGAAAATTTAAAGGAATAGTTCACCCAAAAATGAAACTTTGCTGAAAATGTGATCACGTTCAGATCATCCAAGATGTAGGTGAGTTTGTTTCTTCATCAGATTTGGAGAAATGTAGCACTGCATCAGTGTCTCAGCAATGGATGCTCTGCAGTGAATGGGTGCCGTCAGAATGAGAGTCCAAACAGCTGATAAAAACATCACAATAATCCACAAGTAATCCACACCACTTCAGTCCATCAGTTAACATCTGGAGAAGACAAAAGCTGAAACAAATCCAGCATTAAGACG